TTCAATAAAGAGGAAGATATTCATTACTGAATACAATCCCAAATCAATATACATTAAGATAAGTAAGGTGTGGTGCTGTAAAACTATTCTTTTTCTTAACAGGATAATGGATGATCGTTTGATATATATATATAGATTAAGTACAAAATGAGGATAAAAGCTGCTAAGATATTAATCTTTTTCAACAGAACAATATAAAAAAACTCAATGTTTTAAAACTATAATCATTATAAATAATATTAATAATGAAAATGACAATAATTATCACTGTTAAACTCAAAATAACTAATTTATTTAATTGCTGTACAGTTGTAAACTTTTATATTTCAACAATCCTGTAATGGAATAATAATAGACTGACAATTTGATAAGAAATTATTTTCAACAGTATAGAATAATTTAATAAAAAATAAGATGAATTGAAGTGCTCATTATTTGTTGACAGCACTATTTGTCTATTATTTCTTTAAGTTTATGATTAATCGGTTGAATTGTTCATATCATTATGATTCACAATGTTCAACGGAAAGATAAATATGTAAGTTGAAAATTAAAGAAGAAAAACTTATCACTACTATTTAATTCGTATTTTGTGTTTTCATTTATAAGGAAAAGAAAACTTTAAATAAGTGTGCAGAGTTACTGGTAAGGAACTAACTACAATGCACTATTCGTTTGTTTATTCAACAGACACAGTTTTAGGTATGCAGACTGTGAAATGCATTTGACTGAGATTCCATAGATTAAATATACAAAAGCCATGTAATCTCTCTGCTTATTTTCATATCTTTTCTAATATATTTTGACAAAGAAAGAACAAATATCATAGCAGAATAAAGTGGATTCTCGATATAGGGTTGTGGAGATTGCTAAGTATTTTTGAAATCACGAACTGGTCACTGTTGAACCCGTATCAGAAACATGAAAGCGTTGGACGGCATCTTCATATTAGTATGAGACTCACCGGCGGTGCACATCCATGAACTCCACATGCGGGAATTAAACCAAGGACCCTCGAGCTTGCGAGCGAACACCTAAACATTATAACTACTAAGCTAGTATCCGACTGGTGAGTCCTATATTAGGACGAAATGGCCGTTCAGTGCTCTCGAGTTTCTAATACTGGTCTGGCAGTGATCAATTCATAATTTCATTGGAATTAATTCGTTTCTAGTGTTCAACAGTCATCATGAAATTGATTAGTTGTACTGAAAAAAACAAATTTGTTTTTTTCTGTCTCAATGAAAATTCAAACCTTCACTTGAATTACACTCTGGGTATTTTTTAGATTTTGATAATTCAAATCTCTTAATGTTTTTAATGAATGCAGCTGTTAATATCTATCAAAACACACTGATTTGCATTAAAATGAGTGTCTGAATAATTTCAGCAATAATATTGTGAATAAAATGTCAAGTAAAACCATCTACAAATTAGCAAAATAAAATCAAATAATTATTGATCACATGAATAAAAAACGATGAAAACACAAAAGCATTCGATTGTATAAATATAAAATCTTGAATTGGAATATATACAAGTAATCAGTTCCCTTCTAAATAGTATTTAAAATAAAACTGATAATAACAATATAGTGTTACTGTTGTTGAAATCCTCAAGGAATGAATTCCGTTTTTTTTAAAAATAAAGAAACTTCATGTTATTGTCAATTAAGAATAATAAACATGATATTTAAAGCATTAATCTGTAGTGTTTAGTGGCTTTTCTCTTGAAATCAGTTTGTAAACAAGTTTCACATGTTTACGACGATCAACAATTAGAATATTTTGTTATTTATAATGAAATAAGAAATTTGTGTTCGTAAAATTGATAATTGATGGTCTATTGGTGTTTGACACCAGAGTTACTGCGTAAATATGTACAACTGAAGAATGAGTCTAAATAGTTGTTCTGTTGATTAAGAAAGAGGTTCTGTGCGCTAAATTAATGTTTGCATAATCCCTTTCTGATAAAAATTCAAATAAATTATACTTGACTTTACTGAAATAATACTTCCATGATTTTAAAGAATCTAAAAATGGATTGACAGAATTATTTCACCGTTTTCGCCTTTGTTCTCTACTGATAATATGAAATAATGTCAAACCTGATGACTTTTCTTAACGATAAATATTAATTCGTCTTTACAAAAAGGTCAAAGCAATCGATATAAATTCAACGAAAACAGTAATGCAAAGAATAGGATTAAATGACTTAAAAAACCTTTGATTTCGTTATTTTTTCAAGCTTAACAATTTTTCCTTTGATTACTGTCAGAAAACAGATTACTTTTGTTCTATTTCTTAAACTTGAACATTTGTTTTTCCTTCTTATAATCTTCAATAAATGGTAACTATTTTCAAATGAAACTTATTTCTTATAAACACAAATAAAAAGTAGAAATTGTTAGCACTTACTTGTAATAATAACATTATTAATACCAAAGTGTGATTTACATAATTCCCAAAGTCCTGATTTGATTGTCAAGTTTAATCACCCTTTTTTGTCTCTAAATATTCAATTGCATATTTTCTAACTGTTCAGAATAACCAAATAAATTTTTTTTCGATAACTCAATTTTTGGTAACAGCTCACCCTAATCACTTTAGAAAGGTTTAAATACATACATATTTTGATTATGTATACCAAATTAAATGATGACAATAGCTAAACTGAATTTGTTCAAATCAAGTAGTTTGTGAAGGATGATTTTTCTTGATCATTTAACCTTAGGTGGAAAGGTTTTATTGTTTTATATTGTTTTGAACTTAAAGGCAATGGTAATGCAGAGAATTTGAAAAATGTTTCACACAGAGTTTTATTAGAAAATTATCAATTAGTGTATGAACAGTTGTAGTATATACATTGATATATGAAAACATGAATAGACTGAAAGGATTAACCAATAAACAGTTTGCAAAAAATGCTTATATAACATAATACTAGTGTATATCACTGATGTTTTTACTTATAATTCATACAGATCAAATTTTGCCATTCAAATTTTTAAAATACCATTCACATTGAGTTAAGATTTTCATCATTTTCAATTTTCTTAGTGTTTCTAATGAGCACGATGAATATAAATATAGCTCTAGTTCAAATTTGAAAGTTTTTTTTAATGTCTCACAATAAATCCATTAAGAATAAATATATAATATAAATTGGCTAAAATAACATTCCATCGCCGTCTTAGACGTTTAATTTTTTAAAAATAAAAGTCATGATAGAATAACCAGTCGAATTTTTCACTTTAAAATTTCTGTTATTCTTTTCGGGGTTGCGTTTTTCTACGTTTAGCACTTGTATGTATGTAAGTCCTAATTCTTTAGCTGGTAATTTTGTTGAAAGAACGTGAATAATAGATGAAATGATTTTCTGAGGCGCAAATAAATTTTTCATGGGAATAATTCTTTATCTTTCATAATAGTGGCGAGTATTTTTCTGAACAAATATTTGACATTGAGGCAATTTCAGATAAACATTGACTGTGAATGGGAAGCTGGAATTCTGTCTTTTCCACAGAAAAATACTATTAGGTATGACTGAATAATTAATTTTAAAAATATAGTATTTTAAGGTTGAAATTCTCAGCAGAATATTCAGTTTTTGGTTAATATTATTTCGTTCATTCATTAGCGTGTGAACTGTTTGAAGGTGGTGGTTGGATGTATCTGACAGGAAACCCTGGAACAAAATATCGTGATTTTTAGCGCACGTCAGTAAGCTGTACCTGTGAACTTAAGGAGAGTGACACTCACAGTCTTATTCAATCCAGTGTTACCGAGCTGCGGAAGAAGATACTTGACTATTGAGCCATTTAGGCAGCCACTGGCCACCTGCAAGACTGATTGATTAATAAGTAGTGACTAGAGTCATGTATGCTTAGTCCTTCTAAGTATCTGTCAAATTTTATCGATCAATCTATAATTTAACCACTAAATAAAACTTAGACATTGAATAGATGAAATCATAGATATGCATAATTTTAGTTAGTTGACTTTATTATTGCGTATGGAAATAAATGATTATGCTTAAAAACTATGATGGACAGAGATAAAATATGAATAGACAGTCAAATGGCAATTCAGGTAGATCATCATAATAAAATAGAAACATTATCAAACTATGTAAAATAGGATTTATATTGAATTCAGTTGTAGAGCTAGAATTAAGGGTTTTTTGGATTGAAAATTTTATAGTTCTACAGAGATGTAGAATAAGTAATAAAGATACATAATAATAATAATAATAGTAATGATAGTAATTATTATTATTATTATGGTAAATTATCTTTATCATAAAATAATTAAGATTAATTAAAATTAACTCTGTAATTTAACAGCAAATGAACGGTGTCATATACTACATTCTGTTTCCCGAATGGATCATAATCCAAACAGTCAATCAATAACCCAAAAAAAACACCTTTTAAAAACATCTCCATATCTAAACAGTCAGAAATATCTGATCAGATTTACTTTTTTTTCAAATTTCAGAATGGAAAACGTTGTTTTAAAGCTAGAGAAGTGTCACTATAGCAACCTATTAATTCGCAAGTGTAAAAAAAAGTAAAAACAAACAATGAGTTTCATTAGTACTCTCGTTAAAAGAGGAACAGGAATTAATTTCTTGTTCAAATCTCGGTACTTTTAATTTAAGGACACTTTTTACTTATCATTCATTTCGTTTACTTTTTTTTCTTTAAATATAAGTAGTTATTGAAACAAGTTGTTATTTGTCAGGGAACATCCCAAAATTGAAGTGGATTGTAAGTTTTCATTTATTAGCTTAGAAAGCACCAATCAGAAATTAGGAACAAATTGTTAACTTTTTTTAAAAAAAATTATTTATGAAATATGCAGTATAAACATTTTTAAGAAAAATATCAAGTTATTTTTATACGAGAAACATCAATCTACGAAGCTTTGTTTTGCGTAAGACAACACAAAAAGATCAATCAGTAATCAGCAGGTTGAACAACAGAATCGTTGATCATCATGAAAGCCTTTATTGAACGGTAAGTAATGTAGATTAGTTGAAGTTTAATATGACATTTACATTATAAAATAAAGGCCAGAAATACATTTTAAACTAAATTTTAAATCTGCATAATTAACATAAGTGTTAGTATCGGTAAATAGATTGATCATGTCAACCCCTAGTAGCTGTAGTTAATTAGAGTACCAATGACAATTCGTTTATTTCATTTTACTCTTGTCATAATAGTTTACTTTACAAGGTGTTTGATTTACTACTGAAATCCCTTATTATTATTCTTTGTACTAGCAACTTTCCCATTTGTGTACAGCACTTTATTAGACCGAGTTTGTTATTCTTACGGATGTTTTTTGGGCTGACCAAAATCACTACAATGGCTTGTTGATGTGAAAACATTAGCAGTCAATGTTGTGCGGTTATGTACCTCAGTATTATTGCGACATGATTATAGTATGTGAGCGACAAATATTCTTATTGACTCCTTTGTTTTGCACTATATACTTTAATGTTTGTACACTTGACCATTAGTACCAGTTCACCGTTGCGTGAGTTTGTCACTATAAAAGATTTGCTGATTATGAAACTGTCTTCGAGTTATTTGCATCAGAATTAGTAAAGTATCAGATATTCCTCAAACAGTTCTTGTTGCTTACCGCAATAAAGTTACTGAAATGTATACAAATACAAATTGCAGTGCTTCGAGTTTCTCTCAGTTTATGTTGCTTTTCATGAAATTTAAATCTTTATTGAAATATAAAAAAAAGTTATGGTAAAGGTTATTCTGAAAAAAATATTTGTTAAATTACTGAAATAAGTAGGATCGATGGTAAATTTTTCATTGCTGGACTGAGAAATAATTCATGACAATCTAATTATTGATAATATGATATGCTATACTAAAGCCAGTGTATCGACAGAAGCTGTTGATCATTTTAAATACTTAAGGTATTTTGGAAACAGTTGAGTTGTTGAAAAGTCACTATTAAGTGAGTAAGTATACTTGGCAAAGTTTTCTCATTCACATAACTTTAATTCAATTTCTTTTTTTTCTTTATCATTGTTTGTTTGGATACATTTGAAAAAGTACTTGAACCTTATAGTTCTAACGAATTTATCTATTTACCGAAGTTGTAATCAAATTTTTTTATTTAAGCTCTTTTATTTCTCAAGTGTTATTCAAAGTAGAAAAATATAAAGTCTACTTGAAAAATTTATTTGTACTAGTAGTAGTTTCAATCTTTCCATTAATGTTTACCACTATAATTGGTCCGTTTTATTTGGGACATATTCATCCTGTGCAAATTGCCAGGTATACCCAGTGTTGACCCGTCCCGAATAGGATGAAACTCAAGTCCTAGATTCCACTCGTTAGCCACTTCCCATCAATGTTTATAATTATTTGAAAAATCTTATTAGGCAGAACATTTGAATGAACCGAAAACGATTTTGTTGGGTTTACTAGTTTCTATTTGAATAATTATTCATAGTGTAATAACTCAAAGTTGATGAATATATTTGAATAATATTTACAACAGAACAGTTCACTAACTTCCTACTAACTTACATGATTATATATATATGTTTAATAAGCTGAAAGAAGCTTAGTGTCTTAAAAATACCAGTGATATTCATCCATTCAATAGTTTCATTTTGGGTGTTTCTCATAGGAAAACAGATATAAATAACGTTTGTAATAATTTTAAAGGTAATTAAATGTATCATACTGTGAAACGTATTATCAGCTAACCCACATCTTGAAATCATCATTTTTTATCACCTAGAGTCAAATGACGAAATTTTTCTCGTTACTTAACTCTATAAATACAAAACTTTTACTTTTGCATGGTTATTTTGATTTATATTGACTTGTGTGACGTAATTATTTACAGATTAAGTACCGTATAAAATGATACCTTTTTGTATTTATCATTCAATGATAGAATGAATACACTGACGTATTACATATCCTCCTTATCTTAGGAATATTGATGTGTGTTAATAGATTCTTTGTGAATAAAAAATAACCTTACAATTGAATAAACATTATTCAAAAAGTGTTATCATGTAAGTTAGTAGAAAGTTAGTGAACTGTTTTGTCAATGATACCATCTAATTCATTGATTAGTTCACTCTCGTTTCATAATATAAACATACAACAATATGTCAGTTAATATGAATCTGTGGATTAAAAATATTCGTTAAGTAAATTTGTATGATTATTTTTATTATTATGTGACAGAAAAATTCCGTTTCATGGATAAAACTATTCACCAGAGATCAGTGGACATTCTTCCCCACGATATTTTAACGAAGGAAGCCTCTGAACATATCTCTTAGTAAAGAGTGTCGAATTGGTGTTGTAGGCATAATTTTAAAGTAGATAGGCCATGACTAAGTAACAGTAATAAACTCCTTTTTCATAGGAAATAAAGCCTGAAAGTATGTTATCTCACACTCTGGTTCATATCTGGTCTATTAAAATAAAAGCAATGTATATCTTATATGATTACCACGTAAAATGAGATTATATTATGTGATACGTATGTACAACGAGAGCTTATCTTATATACGTGCACTTTTTCCTATAACTGTGAACATATTCAGTGGTGAGATACTTTCACATGTAATGAGTATCAATTCATAAAATAGTTCGGTGGTCGATTTTCTATAAATTCGTGAAGGAGATTTGTTTTGCCTGAAGAACATAAAAGTTTAAACTCAAAAAGTTTGTTACACTTACATTTATTGTATCAGACTGCCAATAATTGTGAAGTGAATCTTTAACATACGGTGATATACTGTTATGAATGATTTTCATTCTGGACTAATTGACCAAGTATACAATAAATAGTCACCGAAATTAATAACACCTTGACTCGACCGCATAAAGTGTTAAGAGATATTCGGTAAGTTGGTTGGTGGGGGAGGGAGAACTGAAAATTGAACCTAAATACGATCTGACTCTGTGAGTGATCCACTAATTTCCTCGCCAAACGAAACTTGTGGCAAAAAAGAATTAAAAAACTTGAAAACTCGAATACACAATATTAATGAGAGTTAAATAACAGTTTATAAATTTTGATGAAGTGACAGCGTTTAAAACAGCAAATTAATTAAGAATTGTTCGCAGTAATCTTTATCTCAAATTTTACAAAGCAAATCAGAAGACGAATGAGCATTGACTCTCTAAAATGAGATATATAGTCTAAATGTGAATCAACCGCCCAACAAAATAGCTATTAGACTAAAACAACTTCGAGAAATGATTTAATCTGAACTATAAAACTATGCTTCTTGATCAGATTCTTAAAATTAAAAAATGTGCTCTTACTTCGGAGAATTCATCTGATAAGCTGGGAAAATGATTATTCGCTGTCTATAAAGTGTACTATAGTTCGAAATAAACTAAACTGACCATTTTTAAACTAGTTAATTAGTTTAAAAGTGATTTTTTCATGTCAAGAATTAATTTCACGATAATTTCAAATAACGTCTCATAATTTTAACTATATATTGTTTAGTAGATTGATATAGATTTCCAATAATATATTATTATTATGATTATACGTTATTGAAATAACATAAATTTCAGAATTCCATGTGCCTTTTTGTCTAAAATGATAAAGAAAAGAGTTTTCACTGAATTCGTCGATACAAACACAAAATGTTTCATAGGTAAATTCAGAGCACAGGATTTTCAGTATTCGTTTGTAATTAGTATAGTCAACGCATATTGTTAAGATAGGTTAACTGACTGCCATAAACGGTAAGTTTATATATATATATATATATATACATATATATATATATAATAGAATCAAATGGTGGACATTTCAAATATCGATAATAATAGTAAAGCAATATAACATTAGTATTTTTTTTTCCTATTAAATTCAAGTATGATAAAAACATGTGTATTTGCTACATTTTGAAATTGTGCATTCTTGTGATATTGTTTTTTTTTTGTTTTGTAATTTTATTTTAGGAAAGACAGTTCCTCTGATTTATTGAGCAGATACAAAGCGAGGAAAATGCTAGGAGTTGGTGAATCGTCTGGTAATGTTGTATCTTCAAAGGTAAACATGTTAACTCATATCCTCGGATCTCACAAAACCAAGCATCTTTAAGATACTGTTTGCCATTAGATGGCCTAATTTAGATAATTTGTGATTCTTGTACAGAACTATGAATCCATTCCATATTCACAAACAATAACTCAACAGCTTTTAATCTTAAAGCCTAATAAATCTTATGTCATTCTAGTTAGGCGACTTGCCTATGACCATTGGTTCAGGATATAATAACCATTTTCATCAACTTTGTTTTCATATGTAAGCGTACATGTTTTGTGCAAGCGTAGCACATCATAGTGTTGTATGCAGTTTGCTCCTCTGAAATATTTAAGCAAAAACCAAGAATGACAATATTTGGTACACTGTTTATTGATTGCGTTTAATCAACAGCCATCAATAGAACAATTAGTTTAGATGGATCAAAATAATGACGCGGAACTTGTAAGGCATAAGTTGTCATCAAACAATAATTAATATTTTTTTTAAAAGTCAGATTCTAATGAGAACTTCGGTCTAACATTCCTTAATTCTAAAACTAGGTTTATAGGACTAATAACCTTACAGAAACTCTTCTGTTATAAAAACACGATTCTTTCAAGAGTAAAGTTTTTGAAGGGGTGTAAGACTGAAACAAGTGAATAAAATGATTCCGTAAAATGTTAAACACTGACAGATTCCATAATATGCTCACTGTAGATTAATGAGGAAATAGGTCAGTAGTAGTTATGTTTTCAAATAGCTGAATTACTTCTTAGTCTCTTAGAAACAACTGCTTGTTATAAAATCAATTTCCTGCAGTATTTTTTTCTACTTATACATCAAACTATAAGCATACAAGATATTTTCTATCTTAATATATGTTGCTATTTTTAGGATTCTCTTCACATTCATATTCACTTATCAAGAAAATTTTATATTATATTACTGATGAAGACTTTAAAAGTTATTTTATTTTTACTAATTACTAGACAATTTTTTCCTATTACATACTCTATCAAATTGTACAATTTTTTTCATCTCACTTTCATCAACAATGTTGATCAAGAGGGATTATACTATTTTTAGGCATCCTTTAATAAATAATTTATTTATCAGAAATATTAATTCCATGATACTCTCAAATTTTTTGAACTAATCTAAGGATTTTATGTAAGAAATGTCGTTTTCGATAGATTGAATGCGATAATATATGCAAGAAACGACAGTTTACATAACCTGACACAATCAATAATGATTTTCGTTGATCTTAAAGTAATAGTAGTTATTTACTAACAGAATTTAAAAAACAAATTAATTTTGCATTTCCGTCAAATAATCGATTGTTGTAGACTTTTGACCTTTGTGTACTAATAAATTTATCCCTACTTAGTGTTTTGTCGCTTTATTTAAGTAAATTTGAGAGAAAACAACATCCTTTGTTTGTTTCTGTTTGTTAAAAGGCTGTTTTGATAATCTATTTTAAAGAAGGTAAAAAGGAACAATAGAACAGTCGCAATTGCATTATTTTCAAACATGCAATTCCTTTCAAATAAAAAGATTATTACATATTGAAATCACCAATCAATCAATCAATCATTGTTAGACCACCATTAGAAATCTTGAAGCACTGCACGGCCATTCCGTCCCGATGTGGGACGCATCGGCAGTGCACATCCACGACTCTTGCACTTTGCAGGTTACGCGTTTGCGCGCAAGACCAAAGGTTCTGGGTGTAAAAGCACAAATCTCCACAAATCTGATTGAAAAAATAGATTATTACTTACTATGTTAGAAAACTAAAACCTTATCACGTTACACAAATAAGTTAAGGTTTATTGTACAGTGATAAATGAATTCCATCGTTTGAAGTAAAACTAAACGATATGTTAACATATTGTTATTTGATAGTATAAATCAGTCTATAAGCTATGCCTAATATTTAGGCAGTATGTTCCACTATGTAGATGTTCATAGAAGTGAAGAAATTCCACTGATAATAATAGCATGATGATTGTGATTACAAATAATACATATCACTGAAACAACCCATTTTTGTTGAGTGTTTGAAAGACTTATTCACACAAATCTCACCACATTTTTTTAAGTCATGAAATTTTCGAACTGAAAATTCCAAAAATTCTTCTCTGTTAGGAATTTTCAAAAATTCCAATATTCATATATATATATATATATATATATATATATATATATATATATATTCACTAGACATAGCAACTAAATCAAAAATAATTAGCATGATTGTTATACTGTACAAGTAAATGTTTCTCAAAATCTACAACTATTTCATTGGAACTAATATTGAATAATCGGTTAGAATGCTGATCAAAATAAATCTGCATGCTAAATTACTTTTGCACAGTTGCCAATTTTTCAAAGAATATTTTTTTTATTCACATCACAATAGCTGATATTAAGCCAACATTGAAATTAATCATTCATTATTTTTTCTCTATTCAGATTTTTATTTTTATCGTAAATCTAGTCGGGATTTAAGGAAATGTCTACATGAGATTGAAAAGAATTTATTCTCTTTTATTTTGTTATTTGTGTGTAAGGAAATAATTTGTTAATCTAATATCAAAATTATTTCAATTTCCTGATAATCGCTCGATTATCGACAAAAAAAACGTGTTTATTTTTGTAGCTTTTGCAAATAAAGATTGATTTAAGAAAAATTGTTAAATTCAAATGAAACTCTGATTAACTCGAATGTCTCAATATTGAATTAAATTAAGATGGGTTTGTTGTATCAAATTTGTCAGTTGTTCTCAATAAGAAAAAAATATTTGATCAGTAATGACACCTATATTTTTTTATCTTCCCCCCTGCCAAATATACAAATAAGGCTGCCGAAGTGCTAAGGGTAAGAAAACTCAATGTCTTTGTAAAGTGTCTAGCTAGAAACGCTAGGAGAAGGTAAGTTTAAACAACTGTTAAAATCTATGCTGAAATACAGACTACTTTATAAATTCTAACTTGTATCATCTATCTTAACTCAGTCCATGATTTAAACTCCTACCATATTACGTGAACGAATATTGATCTTGGAATGAAAAAGTATAATGACTTAATTCTAAGATAACTCTATTTATTTATTAGATCGTTCATGAAATAGATGTTTCTCACACAATTGAGTCATTTGATTACAATAACTTTAATACTGCCATCAACCTGAAAGAAAAGAAAATTCTGTTAATAAGTTAATTGATATTGGTAGATATTATGTAGTGTAGTCTACACTACAGACTAAATTCTACTAGTTGATTTTTGATCTTTGGAATCTAGTTGACACAACATTGAGAACTTCATTTAATCACCTAAATAATATTGTTTTCTAATCAGTATGTTACACTCGTCACTAGGTATGTTTAAAACTATGACGGGTTCTCCTTAGTCGATAAACGTGAACGAGATAATGAACCAGGCTACTCAAATCTGTTGACCCCAAACAACTAACGAGAAGTCTTGATATAGCGTAAAAAATGTATTTTACAAACACCCAGCAAGCACAAAAATCACACACCATTGAGATGTCCTTGGGAGAGTCACAAAATAACACAAAAATAAATAACACAGTAACCAATCACAGCCAAATATTTTCCTGTCGGGATATATGATCTCAAGGTCCACTGATCAGCCCATGTATAAAATCCAAAATAAAAACATTTATCAAGCGAGTTCTGAGGATCTAACATTCCCAACACTATATATAATTATTTGACAAACGGAACTAAATTTACACAACTTGATTTCTTTTTTTCAAGAAAAAAAATAACAGTATGCACTTACATTTAATTTTCCCGTAAACTAGTACGTCCAGTAAGTAGTTTAGTTGTGGGAAAACAAAACCTTGCAAATAAATACAATTCTGAAAAATGAAAAATGACCAGAATTGCTACATTTGTTTACGGAATAACCCTAAAAATTCATTTGGTATTTTGATCAATGTTAAATTAAAAGTTTGTTGTATGTGTGTTTTGTTTTATTTGAATTTTTCTATAAAGAGAATAGTGAACATTTTTTTTATAAATTATCATAAGACGAAAAGATGGTTTGAATTAAAAATATATATATATATTTTTTATATTTAAAAGCATTATAAAATGCACAGATGTTGTTTTTATTTTCGGCTTCACTGCATCATTCTTTTTTCTGCGGTTTTCTAATTGAATTTTTCGAGTAAAAAATATTCTGTTCAACCAACTAGCCTGAATTATTGAAATTTTTTTCAGAATGTTAAATAAATCACACGTTAAATCGATTAATGAGCTATCCAAGTTTTTAAAAAAATAATTGTTTGTTTTATTGACTTTAAAATTTGTTTTACAGTTTCTATGAAAAACTATTCAAAATAACAGATGTTAGAGATAACAAGTGATTACATTTTATGAATTATGTTGAGAAATTATTCGAAAATTGTTAAATGCATATGCCTGATCTTCAGTGTAGATGTATTTAAAGACTCATCTTGAATCTAGTGATGATTTGCTTTAATATTGTAAAAATTGTTTTGTCTAACTAAGGAAATATGAAACATGTTTTCTTCATTGAATTGAATTTATTTCTCATTCAATCACGCAATGTGTTACTTGATTACATGTATATATGTTCAGCCAACTGGAAATAAATCGTTGAATAAAAGAAAGATTTTATTCAAAAAAAATGTTTTATATTTGACTAGTTATTCCTTCTTACAACAATTTCTTTTCATTAAACACTATGTAGAATGAATTTCATGTAACATCGTAGGTGCCTAAAGTTGTTTGAAATACTGTGGTAAAAATTGTAAAAATATTAAATACTTGAGCGAAATTCTCACCTTCCCCCCAGTATCAATAAAAATTTTCATTATATATTCAAGGTACAAGTGATAATTCAAGTTTCACATAATTAGTGAATATTTCTAAAATACATCTCACATTTGCTTACTTAGTAAAGAATATCAAATTTAGGTTTTGAACTGTCAGTATAAGATTATGTAGATGGTTGAGTTCAGTCGAAAT